CGCGCGGGAGGCTGCTGACGGCGGGGAGCGGAGGCCCGTGTGCCCGCCGCCCGCCCCCTTCAGCGGACGCACACCTTTGCCACGCGTCGGGCGGACCCAGGCCCCTTCCCGGGAGCAGTTCTTATTCCTTGGTGCGGAAGCAGCACGTTCACACCGCGGGTCCACAACGTCAGGAATCAGGGACTGAGAAATGGGGAGGCGTGACGCGCTCCCCTGCGCACCGCCGGTTCGGCCCGAGTCGCAGGTGCCTGCGCTTCCCAAACTTGTGCAGACTTGAGCCGTGGAACCAACAGGCCTCTCCCGGGGTTGTGCGATCTTGTTGACGGGCGCCCCGAAAGATGTCTAACCCCCGCCGACTGTCACCGGGACAAGTGTATTTGTAAAGTGTAATTTCTGCCGAATTTCTTTTAAGGGGCCTGCATGTTTGGGGGTTTTGTTTTGTTTTGCCTTTTTCGTGTGACTTGGAAGCTAGTCCTTTCATCCCCCTTCTCATCTTTTTTTTTTTTTCTCAAATTCCGAAGACTTTGTTTTCCTTTTCCCAGAATTGATTGTGCCCACTTGGAGATGGAACAGAAAAATACGTTTTCTGGTTTAACCCTTGGACGAAAATATCAGGACTTTATTTTGTAAATGTGTACCTCAATATTAAAAGTTAGCTAAGATAACTCCCTTTGTTAAGTAAATTACTACACTTGTAAAATGAATTTTTTTATTGGAATGCGGAAACAACTATACCTGCTGCCGTGAATCACAAAATAGGTGTCTTCCTAGATTAAGCAAATTAGTACTTATGGCATAAACATCAGTCTGCTAATAATTTCAATAAAGAAATTAAAAATGTATGTTAAACTTAAGCCATCCATCCTGTGACAAATTTGGTAAAAATACTTCAAACTCTGATAGCTTTGGTCCCAAACTTTGGATATACTAAGCAGATTGATAAACCATAACAATGCACTTTGAAAATGTGATAAAATTTTAAAGTTAAAACTGTCCTTAGTAAAATTAGTTAGACAGGAAAAATAATCTACAAAACAGTGAAATGAGGTGTCCCTGGAATTCCTCACATAAAATATGAGTATTTCAAAATCAAACTTGATTAATCATACTAGGGGGAATTGGATTTTAAAACAAGTGGACTTTATAAAAGCAATTTCAGAAAGGCAGTTGTAAAAGTACAGCAAGACAGTTGCCTCTGAATTACAGAGCTAAGATAATAAACCTAGAGGCTGATTCAGTTGGTCTCTTATATCCAAAGTGAAGGTTCTAGAAATCAAGACCAATAATTCTAGAAATCATTACCAATTCTTGAATGATGCTAACAATGAGACGGTGAATATGTTCAAGTGCTTCTATCTCTTAGAACTTTATGGATTTTTGGACAAGTTGCTTCTCTGGTTCTCAGTTTCCTGGTCTATAATATGAAAATAAATTCTATTTAATGAAAGAAACATAAACACATTTAGTTATATCTACCTCAGAGTTTTAAAATTAGGAAAAACAGTGTATGTAGATGCCTGATACATAATTAGTCAAACATTTCTAGTCATTGACCTTCCTTGTTCTGTGGTCTGCTCCACCTTACCTTTGTTAGTTCAGGGAAGAGTAGAAACATGTTTTACCTTTTCTACGACTACATCCTATTTCTATTTCTGTAATTTTCTAAAGCTATAGTGGTGAATTTAGGGCATAATTTATTAGCAGAATTTCTAATTTGGCTATCCCGCTACATCTATGTTCCAAAAATAGGAAATTAAAAAAAAAAGACAAAAACTCACAAGCTAGAAAGAGAATAATTCTGTTCCTAACTAATAAAACTGAAAGCAGTTTTTATGCTAGAATGCCAGCTTTTAAAAGTGTAGACCACTAAATGATTTTGAAGGTGAGAGAGAGCCATGGTCAGGGCTGGGAAGACAAGCTGCCATGGGAGGCTGGGGGTAGCTGAGTGGACAGTGGCTGTCCAGTGAGCTTCTGTCCAGTGCTGAGAGCCCAAGGGTTCCAATCATTTTCCAAAGCTTGTGAGCCTAGACTTGCTAGACCATTGTTTTTTTTATTTTTATTTCATCCAGGAAATATTAAATGTTTTACCTATTTAATGTTATGATTACCTGCCCTTTTTTTGTCTTTGGAAATGAAGCTAGAAAATTATTACCACCCCAAACATTTTTTTTTTTCAAGCACAAACCATTCTCTTTTCCTCAAACTTTTAAATAGGACATATTGTCCACAAAGCTGCAACGTAAGTTATTTTCTACCCCTTCCGTGTTACTTTTGTTTTTTTCTGGACATTTTCCAACTCCTTAATGTTTTCAAAATGTGGAAAAAATAGGCCTGGGCCCTCCCTGGTGGGGCGGCGGGTTAAAGCACTGCACTAAGAAACTAAGCCACTTCCGCATGAGTTCGATTCCCGCCTGCCCCGGAGGCGACCACATGGCGAGGCAGATCTCTCCTGACCCGCCCACTGCTCCCCTCAGCAGTGTACTTCGTAGATCTGCCTGTTCTGCTTCCCGCTCTGTCTCTGGTGAATCCTCTCACCCTCTGCATCTCTGGCCTGTACCCCAGTTCTGTACTAATAAATAAATAAATCTTTAAAAAAAAAAATAGGCCTGAACATTACATTGGAAATGTAATGTGTGTGTTTTTTTTTTTGAGTATGTGAATAAGAAATATTTGGGGTGTCCCCCTTATAATGTGTTCGATTTTTCCATGTTCCTCCTATGATCAAGCAATATAGTACTAGCTGCATTTGTTTCAAAAGTTTTAGTGATTCCCTTCTTTCATTCTTGATAGAATATACTCTTTGGCAGAACACAAGATACCTGTTTTCTTTGGCAAGTTATTTTTTATCTCGAATTCCTTTTACTCAGTCTGAGAGATTGGATTTGGCTCAGGAAATAAGGATTCTACTTCCCTGCAAGAAAATATCCTGAAGGTTGTAGCTAGTTTTTTAAAAAGACTGTAAGATTGTATCTTTGTATACATATAAATGCATGTGCTGTTAAACTATCCATGAATATAACTGATAATAGGGCACTTCTTGGGCTTCATTTCTCCCATTTGACTTTCCTTAACACAGTTAGAGTCTATTCTAATATTTTTATTTTGTTTGTGATGATCATTTAAGGTGTAGAAATCACTAGAGCAACTTATTTATGGAATATATTTTCAAATGCACTCCCTGCCGCTATCATTATACCCTGTAAATTTTTCTTGCCCTAGCCCTTTATTAAGTTTTCTCCTTTACAAGTGTCATTGTTTTTTGTAGTATTACAAGTCCTCCGAACATCTTGTTCCCCATACTAGTGTTAATAATTTAAAATGTGGTGATACCCTTCACTGCAGGGGAATGTAAGGTGGCTGCACACAGGGCTCCCCAGTACTGAGCAACACTGTAGCCATAATTACTGGCATAGAGATGAGGCTTGACTGACACCACAGGGTTATAGGGACAGAACAGCAAATCTGCCTTCTCCAATGCCACTTCCAGATGTCATGGGTTTAACATATTTGGTGGTAAAATATCTGCACATTTTTAAAAAGATTTATTTGTGCATACAGAACTGGGGTACAGGCCAGAGGTGCAGGGGGATGAGAGCATTCACCAGAGACAGAGAGGGGAGCAGAACAGGCAGATGGAGAAGTACACTGCTGAGGGGAGCAGTGGGCGGGTCACGCCATGTGGGTCACCTCTGAGGCGGGATAGAACTCATGCTGACATGGCTTTAGCTTCTTAGTGCTGTGCTTCAACCTGCTGTGCTACCAGGGAGGGCTCTCTCTGCACATTTTTATGTAAATGTTGCATGGAATAGTGTTTCAGAGAATTTGTTCTAGTACTTGTTCTCCCACATTAAATGTTGATGCCTTATTTTTCATCAACTAAAACCCTGATAGCGAATTAGCACTATCTGGCCTAAGTCTCAAAATACAGACTATATGCCTTTAAGAAATGATTTGCAGACCTAAATATGTTACAGTTTCCTTGCATTACTCTTTAATTTTAATGAATATTCAATGACTTAGTTTAATTATTCTGGATGTGAAGGGGAAAATAATGACTTTTTTATTATAATGTGCAAGGTTAACTTATGTTGTAGAAGAGCAAGCAGATTAGATACTTGTGAGGATTTGAAGCTGCCATGCCTCACTGAAAATAACAGGATAAAGGATACAGTCTCAGTTTTATAAAAGATCATTTTACCAATTCAGATAATTTAAAAATAAAATGGTCCTGCAAATTTAAAAACAACAAAAAAACAGAAGCTCTAAGTTTCCTTCTTTATCCCCATTGGTCCCTCAGAGATACCTACTTTGAACTGTTTCTACTAGTATTTACATACATATTCCTAAATAATATACTAAAGTACTATGTATTGATTCATCAACTTCAGGCATTATATATTCGCTTGCTCTGGCTCTTGCTCTCTGAATGGCTGGGATTTATCTCTCTAATGAGCACCCTGCCACTTTTCCCCCAATATAATTACAGTACAATTTGTATTTAAATCATTATGATACAAAATGATGTATATTATTCTCTGAGTCGGGAGTCACTCTTTCATATTTATCTTCTCATACCACCTTAGCTCTCATGGGTCTTTTCCCCAAAAATGAGTGCTTCAAATTTTCTTTAATTTTTTTCATTTCTTCTATAATGATTATTAAATCTCATCCGATGCTCTTTCTCATGTAATCACTATGTCAGGAATTTTATTAGATGAAATTAATTTC